AGTGCAGGGTATTTGAATATTTGCCACTCTTACTTCCCGGAGATGTCCATGGGTGAACTGTATCCACACTGTTCCAGCTCATGGTTGTCCCCTCTTACCCAGAAAGCCTCAATATTGATGTTCTGGCTTCAGCTGCTCCTCCACTCACCTTCAAGTCTCTGAAGAAAGAAACTGAAAATAATTTTAGGAGATGGAAAGATCTCTCACACTCATGGATGGGTAGGATTAACATAGTGAAAATGGCCATCCTGCTGAAAGCAATCTACAGATGCAGTGCAATTCCCATGAAAATACCAGCACAATTCTTTCCAGACCTTGAAAGAAAATTTCTCAACTTCATATGGAAAAAACAAAAACAAACCAGGATTCTTAAAACAATCCTGTATAACAACAGATCCTCTGGAGGTATTTCCATCCCTGATCTCAAGCTGTACTACAGAGCAATAGTAATAAATACTTTATGGTACTGGCATAGAAAAAGAATAATGGATTGATGGATCAAATAAAAGACCCAGAAATAAACATACAGCTACAAATACTTGATTTTTGACCATACAATGGAAACCATACAATGGAAAAAAGACAGAATCTTTAACAAATGGTGCTGGTCTAATTGGATGTCTACATGTAGAAAAATGCAAATACATCCAAATTTATCACTGTGCACAATACTAAAGTACAAGGGGATGAAACACCTCAACATAATACCAGATACAATAAAGAGGTTATAAGAAAAAGTGGGGAATACCCTAGAACTCATTGGCACAGAAGACAACTCCCTGAAAAGAACACCACAGCACACACTCTAAGATCATCAGTCAATGGGACCTCATGAAACTGAAAAGCTTCTGTAAAGCAAAAGACACTGTTGTCAGAACAAAACAACAGCCTACACACTGGAAAAGGATCTTCACCAACTTTATATATGACAGAGGACTAATATCCAGATTATATCAAGAACTCAGGAAGTTAAAAAGCAAGAGATCAATTATTCCAATTAAAAATGGGGTAGAGAGCTAAACAGAATTCTCAACAGAGGAATATCAATTGCAGCAAAATACTTTAAAAAATGTTCAACGCCCTTGGTCATCAGGGAAATGCAAATCAAAATGACCTGGAGATTTCACCTTACACCATTTAGAATGGCTAAGATAAAAAAAAAAAAAACTCAAGGGACAACACATACTGGAGAGGTTGTGGAGAAAGGGGAACCCTTCTCCACTGCTGGTGGGAATGTAAACTTGTACAACCACTCTGGAAAGCAATCTGGCGCTTTCTCAGACAACTAGGAATATACCCAAAAGAGGCTCAAGTACACAAAAAGAACATTTGCTCAACCATGTTTGTAGCAGCTTTATTTGTAATAGCCAGAAGCTGGAAACAGCCCAGATGCCCCTCAACTGAAGAATGGATGCAGAAACTGTGGTACATCTATGCAATGAAGTATTACTCAGAAATGAAAAATAAGGAAATCATGAAATTTGCAGGTAAATGGTGGGACCTGGAAAGGATCATCCTGAGTGAGTTGTCCCAGAAGCAAAAAGACACGCATGGTATGTACTCACTCATATAAACATACAACATAGAATAAACCCACTAAAATCTGTACATCTAAACAAACCAAGCAAAAGAGAGGACCCTAACTAAAATGTTCAATCCCCATCCTGAAAGGCAAAGAGGATGGACATCAGAAGAAAAAGAAAATAGGAAACAACCTCGGAACCTGCTACAAAGGGCCTCTGAAAGCCAGAAGAAAACAGGAAACAACCTTGGAACCTGCCACAGAGGGCCTCTGAAAGCTTCTGCAGTATAGACTTCAAAGCAGATGCTGAGCCTGATGGCCAACTGATGGCAGAGTGAATGGAATTTTATGAAAGAAGTGGGAAATAGTAAGAGCTGGAGGGAATGGGAACTCCACAAGCAGAGCAACAGAACAAGAAAATTTGAACACAGGGAACTTCCCAGAGACTCATACTCCAACCAAGGACTATTCATAGAGATAACCTAGAACCTCTGCACAGATGTAGCCCATGGCAGTTCAGTGTCCAAGTGGGTTACATAGTAATGGGAAGAGGGACTGCCTCTGACATAATGTGATTGGACTGCTCCTTGATCACCTCCCCCTGAGGGGGGAGCAGCCTTACCAGGCCACAGTAGAGGACAATGCAGCCACTTTTGATGAGAACTGATAGACTAAGATCAGAAAGGAGAGGAGAAGCCCCCTATCAGTGGACATGGGGAGTGGCATGCATGCAGAAAGGGGAGAAAGGGTGGGATCGGGAGGGGAGGAAGGAGGGTCTTATGAGGGGATACAAAATGAATAAAGTGTAATTAATAAAAAATTAAAAAAAAACTCAAGGGACTGCTTCTCTCTCTGGGGAGCTGGGGAGGTCAAAGAGCCAGCCACTGAGTTCTAGTCAGAGACAGTCCCTGTTCTCCTTACTAGGGTATTCCACTTGGATAATGAGGTGCCATGGGCTACATCTGAGCAGGAGTTTTAGGTCATATCCAAACATGGTTATTGGTTGGAGAATCATTCTCAGAAAAGACCCCTGTGCCCAAATATATTTGGTCCTTGTGGAGCCCCTGTCCTTTCCAGGTCTTACTAACTCCCCCTTTCTTTATATGAGGAGGAGATTGACCTGATAAGCTAGGGTCAGATGGAAGGTGGGGAGCAACTCCCCTCTCAGTGGACTTAGAGAGGGGCAAGAGGAGATGAGGGAGGGGGCTACAGCTGGGATACAAAGTAAATGAACTCTAACATAAAAAATTAAAAATTAAAAAAAGAAAAAACATCAAGTGACAACACATGCTGGAGAAGATGTGGAGAAAGTGGAACCCTCCTCCACTGCTGGTGGGAATGTAAACTTGTACAACCAGTTTGGAAATCAATCTGGCACTTTCTTGGAAAACTATCAATAGTGCTACCTCAAGATCCACCTATATTGCTCTACTCAGCAATTAAAATCATGAAATTTGCAGGCAAAATGGTGGCATCTAGAAAAGACCATCCTGAGTGAGGTATCCCAGAAGCAGAAAGACACACATGGCATATACTCACTTATAAGTGGATACTAGACCTACAAGATAGGATAAACATACTAAAATGTATACAACTAAAGAAGTTAAACAAGAAGGAGGACCCAGGGTAAGAAGATCAATCCTGACTTAGAAAGACAAAGGGGAAGGACATTGGAAGAAGGAGAAAACAAGAAACAGGACAGAAGCCTACCACTGAGGGCCTCTGAAATTCTCTACCTAGCAATGTATCAAAGCAGATGCTGAGACTCATAATCAAACTTTGCGCAGAGTGCAGGGAATCATATGAAAGAAGAGGTAGTTAGTAAGACCTGGAGCAGACAGGAGAGCCACAAGGAGAGCAACAGAACCAAAATATCTGGGCTCAGGGGTATTTTCTAAGACTGATACTCCAACTAAGGTACCTTCATGGATATAATCTAGAACTCCTGATCAGATGTAGACCATGACACGTTTACATCATTATCAGGGTGGAATCCTTAGTAAGATGAACAGGGACTGTCTCTGACATGAACTCAGTGGCTAGTCCTTTGATCACCTTCCCACCCTGAGGGAGGAGCAGCCTTGCCAGGACACAGAGGAGGATATAGAAGCCAGTCCAGATGATCTGTTAAACTAGGGTTGGATGTTAGGGAAGATAAAGCTCCCCTATCAGGAACTTGGAGAAGGGCAAGAGTGGAGCTGAGGGAAGGAGGGTGGGATTGGGAGGGAATGAGGAAGGGGGCCACAACTGTGATGCAAAGAGAAAAAAAATGTAACTAATGTAAAAAAATTAAAAGTTAATTTTAAAAAAGTAAAAAAAAAAAGGATGCTCAAGTATACGAGGACATTTCCTCAACCATGTTTGTAGCATCTTTATTTGTAATAACCAGAAGATGGAAACAATCCAGATGCCTCTCAGCTGAGGAATGGATACAAAAATTGTGGTACATCTACACAATGAAATATTATTCAGGAATAAAAACATGGAAATCAAGAATTTGCTTGCAAATGGTTGATTGTTTTTATCCTGGCCTTTACCATCTACTTCTCTATAGCCTGGTCTGTTTATTACTAGAACCTGCACTGAACACTGGATCTGTCCATATCTGGAGTTTGGAGATTGGAATAGTTTTCAAGTGCCGGCCTTTCTAATACATCCACGATGGTGTGTGTTTCGAAAGGAAGAATGCCAGTACAGGTGCCTTGAAAGGGAGGGCCTTTGGCGGAGGTGAGATGCAGGCACCCGACTTGGCAGTTGCAGGAGTAACGGTCATCCCCTCCTTAGCACCCAGGGGATATCCAGTGCCTCAGAAGGTAGCTGAGCTGTGCTTTACAAGCTTACCAGACACTGAGCTCCTGGAACTCCGATTCGTCTGCGCTCAGCCATCTTTGCTCCAGGATTCTATATGATTTTATTGTCTACCTAGTCTTCACAAGGGCACCAGTAGAACCATGGTTTGAAGGTTGAGATGCTGTCCCAGGAACCCAGACACTGCCTTGAGGAGGCTTGAAAAATCTGAAGAATGGCTTCTAGAGTGGAGGTTCTCTAGAACTGGTGTCCTACACTCATGTAATGTGTAGAAAGAGCAGGGGACTCACAGTTCATGATTTTTGAACCTGGGAGATGGCCTCAGCCATCCAGGATCTAATTATTCCCATGTTCTGGCGGGTCCCTCCAGTCAGGGAAGCACCAAAGCCAGTGTTTTGAATCAACCGTTTTCGCAGTCTCTGATTGTCTGCCTGTTAGATACAATACACACTGGTCACTGCTGTCTTGGAACCCCTGATCATTTAAATTTGTATTCCAGTGAATAATCCACAATATTCTGATTAATAAGCTTCATTTTCTTCTAAGTATATTAAACCTATATCTGAATTGGTAGACTAAAATATTGAATATAAGTAAATGTCCTTATTATAAACTTATCCAATGAGGTCGGTCTCAGTTATTTGAAGTATTTATTACAGAATTCTGGATATTAAAATTTTCTTCTGGAATCCAAGCAGTTATTTATTAACCTTTTCATAGCATTTTTCATCTCTTTATTTCTCATTGTGTAAATGGCTGGATTTAGGAGAGGTGTGAAAACAGAGTAAAATACAGCAAAAAATTTGTCCAACCATGTGATTTTGAGGGGCCATACATAGATGAAGATGCAGGGCACAAAAAAGATCATCACCACCATGACGTGGGCAGTGCAAGTGGACAGGGCCTTAGATGCACCAGCTTTAGAGTTCTGTCGTACAGTTCTAAGGATATATGTGTAGGATATGAGCAACAGAATAAAGCACGGTATACCCACAACCCCACAGTCAACATTTGTGAAAATATCCAAGTCATGAGAATCCATACAAGCTAACTTGATTACCAGTGGCATATCACAGAAAAAACTATCAATTTCCTTGGGCCCACAAAAGGGCAGCTGCACAATCACTACCAGATGACTCAAGGCATGGCATGAGCCAATGGTCCAGGAAGTCAACACCAACCCAGTGCATCTTTTCCGGTTCATGATGATGAAGTAGTGGAGTGGTTTGCAGATGGCCACATAGCGGTCATAAGCCATTACCACCAACAGCACTGCCTCTCCTTCAGCAAAGCAATGGATGAAGAAGATTTGAGACATGCACCCTGAAAAGGAAATGGTCTTGTTTTCTCTGAGAAAGTCTGTGATCATTTTAGGAGTGGTGATTGAGGAAAGCCACATATCAACAAAGGACAGGTTGGCCAACAGGAAGTACATAGGGGAATGGAGATGGGAATCCACCATTATTAAAACCATGACAAGAATATTTCCAGATACAATGAGTAGATAAACCATCAAAAACATCATGAAGAGTAAGAACTGAGTACTCTGTGAGTGGGCAAGTCCCCAAAGTACAAATTCTGATACGATAGACTGATTCTCTTCATACATTTTATTCAACATAACTCTAGAAACAACCTGAAGAGAAAAAAAAGTAAATTAGAACAAAGAAAAGAATAAGTTAACTAGTTGAATCTGACATTCACTTTGAAAGGTAACATCAATATATGAAATAGAAACTCTAAATGTAAAGATAAGTCTTTGCCCAATTTTATAAACACTACTGCCCAAAGTGAGAGCTAATTTGCTGAGTGTAACTGCTGAAGAAGAAAAGCATCAGGTCTGATTTTCACCTAAACACATTTGTTTCCATTTCTTTACCAATAAAATTAAAACACTTAATTCAATGCTGTGTTGAGGAGATGTAAAGGAAAACAAACACAGAGAAATCAGCAATCTTTGATAATATTTGAAGTGAAACTATATATAGGAATGGTCCTTTTTTTTCTTTTTTTTTTAGTATACTTTCATGTATATTTTAAAACAATACTGTTTGACTGTTTAGGCCATCTTATTGTTAAGTTGAGAACTGTATTTACAATGACTTTGTGTGTATGTGTGTGTGTGTGTGTGTGTTTGTGTGTGTGTGTGTGTGTGTGAATATATATATATATATATATATATATATATATATATACTCATCTTTCTTTAAAATACTTGATACATAGAATTCCTCCAATGTGATATACCCCTATTTAGTGACTATGTGATGTATAGATGAAAAGAACATATTTAGCTATGCTGACTGTTTTCAGAACCCTTGCATCTATTTCTAGTTTCCTTTTCCTTTGATCAGGACTGTTATAAGTACTTTAAAAATTAATTTACTTATCTATCTACATATTCATTAATTTATTTTACATGTGGGCTCTGTCTGCATGAATGCCTGCAGACAAGAAGAAGGCATCAGGTGCCATTATATATAGTTGTGAGATGCCATGTGATTGCTGGGAATTGAACTCAGGACTACTGTAAGTGTAGCAAGTGCTCTAAACGACTGAGCCATCTCTCCAGTCCTAAGTTATATTTCCAGCAACACTTGTAAATACTTTAGAAAGTCCAGATTCAATTCAATCTTCTAATACTTTATCTGTAATTCTTTTAATTTGGTGGCAATACTGGCAGAAAATGCTAACTTTGGCTTTTAGACAAATGAAATTCAAAATCAATGAAAAAAAAACTCACCTAATGACAATTTTAGGAACTTTTAAAGCAATTACTTATTATTTTCTCCCATTAAAGGCTTTTTTTATCCATGTAGATTGTTTATATTAAAGTTCTAATCTATGCAATAGTGTCAATATATGTATTTTTTAACACTGAGGATATAGTCAGAATTATTCACTTCAGTAGACCCTAACTGGTAGAACTTCATGATTTAAGAGTGCTCCTGTAGTTGCTTGTAATGTCAATTCCAGGTCGACTGCTTTAACCTGATTTCTGAAATGGGCAATATTGCACCTCTTCTCATTTGACTTGCTATCATATTTACTTCCATTTCTGTGCAACAACAATTTATCTTATCTATAGTGTACTCTATGATTAAAAAATACTTTGTCTGATAAAGATACAGGAAATTATTGTGCAATGTTTAGCTGGTTGCTGCTTAAATGAATCATTAGATAAAAAATGAAGTTCTTCTGATGAGGAAATGAATATACTGAGGATGTGCCTTTTGGTGATGTTTGCATTCACAGAAAAGCACAGAAACTTATGTTGGATTAGCAAATGTAGAAAAAAGTCATTCATTGGCTGCTAAAATGACAGAAAATAAAGCAACATTGCTCAAATCCACATTTAATGGAAAATGATAAAAGAGATACATGGAAATATTCAAGAATAACACTGATGGAAAGTGTTTGAAAAATGAGATGACTTACCAAACTCATGTTTTTTTCCAAGATCATATTTTCTTCCATCTGATACGTGCTTGTGAAGACCTCTGTGTCACGATGAGATTGTCTCTTAGAAGCACTTCCCCTCAGCCGAACATGTATTCACTCCCTGATGTCGTGGCATGGGTGAACGCACTTGTTCTGTAATTTGAACTGAACGGGAACCTTGAATGGAAGTATTTTAGAATTTTATTAGCAATTGCTTTGTTAATAATGATGCCAAGTGCTACATATCTGTGAAGTTAGAGAGAAGTTCTTATTCATCACCTCAGAACTCACAATATTACGCCATTACTCAAAGTTATTCACTTGACCAATAAGGGCCAAGATGTTTTCTGCTACCTTGATATGGTACTTTGTCTACATCACCAAAGTGAATAAAATTGTTTTGTAGTTAGAAGAATCCAAATCATGAAAATTCATGATTAGTTTATTAGACTTAGTTTATTACCAGTGATATGTCACAGAAGTAACTGTCAATAAAAATGGGCACACAGAGAGGCAGATGCAGAACTATCTCAAGTTGTCTATCTCATGACATGCACAAAAGCCCATGGCCCAGGAATTCAACACCAAACCAGTACAAAGTAGTAGTGGGTGTGCATATGGCCATTCAGAGGTCATAAGCCATTCCCACCAGCAGTACCATCTATCCTCTGCCAATACATTGGGGAAAGTTATGCACCCTGCAAAGGAAGTAGTCTTGTTTTTCTTGAGAACGTCTGTGATCATCTTGGGAGTTGTGTCTGAGGAGCACCAAATATCATCAAAGGTCAGGTTGGCCAACAAGAAGCACATAGGGAAATGGAGATGGGGGGGCAGTGGTTATTAAAACCATGATGACAATATTTACAGATATGATGAGCAGATAAAGCACCAAAAACACCATAAAGAGTAAGACCTGAACACTCTATGAGTGGGCAAGTCCCCACAGCAAAATTATGAAGCCAAAGACTGATTCCCCCTATACATTTTATTCACTGACATTCATGAACCTGACATTTATATTGTTAGGAAGATAACATCTACACCTGAAATAGAAAAGCTCAATGTAAGAACAAGTCTTTGTCAGCTTTGGGAAATATTGCTGCCCAAAGTGGAAGCTAATGGGCCAAATGTAACTGCCCAAGAAGATAAGCATCCAATGTGACTGTTCTGTACATGCTCTCCCAAGAAATGCCTCTTACAGGAATGCAGTGAGGAAGCAAGATAGCAATTTGAAACTGGTTTCACCAGTTAAGTGAGTTTCTGATTATTAGTCTAATAAAAAGTGGTGTGAATATGTCCCAGCAATCATGAAATTTCAAAGCAGAAGGAAGGTTTATGCTTTTGACCTGATGGGAAATACATTTTACTTCAGTGTAAAAGTTCAGATACAATATTTCTATTTATTTTTAATTAAATTTTTATTTTTTATATTAATTACAGTTTATTCACATTGTATCCCAGCTATAGCTTCCTCCTTCATTCCCTCCCAATCCCACTATCCCTCCGTCATCTCCTCCTATGCCTTTCTTCAAGTCCATTGACAGGGAAGTTCCTCCTTCCCTTCCAACTGACCCTAGCTTATCAGGTCTCATCAGGACTGGCTGCATTGTCCTCTACATGGCCTGCCAAGGCTGCTCCCCCTTTATGGGGGGCGCGTTCAAAAAGCCAGCCACTGAGTTCATGTCAGAGACAGTCCCTGTTCTGCTTACTAGGGATACCACATAGATACTGAGCTGGCATGAGCTACATCTGAGCAGGGGTTCTAGGTTATATCCATATATGGTAATATTTATATTTTTTAACAGCATGTATAATAATCCTATTGATCATCAGTAATTTCTGTGATATTGTTGAATCAAAATATTGGTTAAGAGTCTCAGCCTCTGTTTTGATAACTCAATCAGTAGAGTCTTTCTAAGGCCATCTGTGGTAATCTCCTTGTACCCTGTTTTCTGCTTCTGACATCTATCGTGTTTACTCTTCTGAATGAGGATTGAGCATTTTCCCTAGAGTCTTCCTTGTTTAGATTCTTTACTGGTACAGATTTTCATGTTTATCCTATATAATGTGGCCAATATCTACTTATGACTGAGTATACACCATGGGTGTCTCTCTGGTTCTGGGATACCTCACTCAAGATGATCTTTTCTAGTTCCCACCATTTGCCTGAAAATGTCATGATTTCCTTGTTTTTAATTGCTGAGTAGTATTCCATTGTGTAAACGTACCACAATTTCTGTATCCATTCCTCAGATGAGGGACATCTGGGTTGTTTCCAGAATCTGGCTATTATGACCAAAGCTGCTACGACCAATGGTTGAGCAAATGTCCTTATTGAGCATATTTTGGATATATGCCAAGGAGTGGTATAGCTGGCTCTTGAGGTACCACAATTCATAATTTTGTGAGAAAGTGCCAGATTGATTTCCAAAGAGGCTGAAACTCATAGCCAAATTTTGAGCAGAGTGCAGGGAATCTTATGAAAGTAGGGGAGATAGAAAGGCCTGGAGGGAACAGGAGCTCTACAAGGAGACTAAAAGAGCCATATAAACTGAGCCCTGGGAGCTCTGAAGGGTATGAAATCCCAACCAAAGTTAATGCATGAAGATGATTTAAAACAAAGGCTGAGATCTAGTACATAGACTCAGTCTGCAGGTGGGGTCCCTAATAAATGGAGCAATAATTTTCTCTGGCATGAACTCGGTGCCAATCTTTCTGTTCCCCTGGGGCTTGCAGCCTTGCAAGTCCACAGAGGAAAACAATGCAACCAGTCCTGATGAGACCTCATAGGCTAGGGTCAAACTGAAGGGGAAGAGGAGCTCCCCTATCAGTGGGTGAGGAAAGGAGCATAGGGGGAGATGAGGAAGAAAGAATGGGATTGGGAAGACGTGAGGGAGGGGTCCTCAGCTGTGACACAAATTGAATAAATTGTAATAAATGATAGTAATAATAATAATTTGTTAAAGCTATAATTCAGATGTTTCAATCTTGTTGAGATCATGCTTACAGAATACCATATAAGAAATGCAAAAACCAGAATCACAATATTTTATTCACAAAATATTACCATAGGACTTATTTATTTATTTTTGAGCTACCGCTGCAAATATTTGTATAACTGCAATCAAAAGAAGATAATTCATATTCAAACCTAAAGCCTGAAAGTTATAT